ACACACCACACACACACACAAACGCGTGCGCGCGCGTTTTGTGTATGTCTTTTTCAACGTAGAATTTGTCGCGTAAACGAGGTTGACGGTAGATCTTCACTAAGCCACGGATGTTTCCTTAGGCGAGCTGAAGGATTTGGGAGATTTTTGAATGCGGTTTCCGACTAGAGGTAGGGTTGTTTTTCTTCAGGATTTTGCCGTTGTGCCTCGTGACCTCGTGGTCTTGAGATAAAGCCAAGAAATTCCGGATCCATCGCTTTAAAATTGTAACGCGAAGAATCCCATCATCTCACAACTGGTGAACTTGCCTTACTTCTATACTTCTATATACGAAAAAACGTTTTACCATACCAAAATAAACATAAACCATCACTTAGTATAACGTTATCGATATGATTCGAACTCACGTATCCAGTTTTTAGATGAGAGACATCATAATCGAATTATCGTGTCTTGCTCTTCGTGCGAGTTAGGGATCCGTTACTAAATTGATCTGACAGAATTAGGATCGGCCAACTATTTCGATGAAATTGCTCGCAGTTAAGACTTTGTCTGATGTTCACAAACATTGACGTTGGACGTGAGACGAGGTCTTCCGCTGATTACGGGACCGCTCACGTGACTTCGGGAATGATGTTGATCTTGAGTTGCTCTTTGATGAAATGCACAGTTAACAGTAGCAAAAATATTATGTGCTATTTTTTCTTGTCATATAATTGAAATTACTTTCAATTATTTTTTTCAATATTAAAATATTGGGAAAAATGCTCATAACAATCATAATTATTAAGTGTCCAATCGAATTCTCACCTTAATATTAAACTAGATTTAAACCAGTATTTATTTATATTATTATAAATAATATTTATTTTATTCTTTTTTCTTTTTTTTCTTTTTTTTTTTTTTGTAAATTCTCTCTATAAATAAAACTAAAACTCATGTAATCCTTTTTCTGATAATATTGTAAGATTAATTGGAAAGAATCCACAGTATTTTATGAAAATTTACTCGCGTTCGACCAGGCGATATATCTGAGGTTAACGAACCCGATTAAAAACTTCAGATGAGCGTGAGAATAGCCGAGTAGCCCTTTTCTTCTTTCACAAATAACTGCCGCTCGCAGAACAAGAGCGCAAGATTGGATCAGAGGAATGAGGAAAACGGCTCGTTTACGTCTAACTAACGTGAAATTTCCAGAGCACTCTCCCGGCGAGCCACTCTCTACGAATCGAAATCGACGTTCAATATTCTTTGATCACATGCCATTAACGGGCCGACTCGTTCAATGCTTCATAAGTGGAATCGCGCCGGTAACTAATGCATTCTAAAAAGAATTACGTGGCTCAAAATGACGTAAATGTAGCCCCATCGCAGCTAATGAATTGCCGAAATTTGACAATGTTCTTTGCGATCGCATCAAGTATCGAATTTTACCTTTAAAAAAAAATTAAAAAAAAAAAAAATACTATAAAAATAATAATTTTTTGCGGTTAAGATTGATAAAATTTAAATTTAAAAAAATTTAATATTGATAAAAAGTGTAGCTTAATATTAATGTTATCAATATATAATATATAAAAATTAAGAACTTTTGTCGATTGATTTTTCTTAGAAAATAAAATCAAACAAAAAATGTCATGCGAGCTAATGCCTGGCAAAAGCAACCATGAATAAAATTTTAGTCGCAATTGAATCAAGTAAATATGAAAATTAACTTACATAGGATGCTGTAGGAAAATCACGTGAACGCTATAATTTCACCTGCATATTCATAGCACTCCAAAGGATTGCATTACTTAAGGAAGATTATATGATATAGACACAACAAATTGTAGTGCTCCTTTGTTAGGTGCATTCAATGCTTGATTGTTAATTTCTATGTAAAGAACAAAAAAAATTGGATAAATTGCACGATAACGCAAAAATTCTATGCAAGTTATAACGAGTGTTTCTAAACTAGTCGACATAGTTGTATATTTATACAATCGCAAAGTCAGTAACTTTCGAATTGCAATTACTCCATTTCGTGTTTTATTTATGCATTTTGTTCGTGAAATATAAAATTACTTCGATAAGAGCATCCAATTTAGGCTTACACTAATGATTCAAAAATGCAAAATTTGCGCAAGTTCGACATCAAGCAAATAGACCGTATAACAGGACAATTGCGATTGCAATTACGTTTCTACATAATGGAAAAAGTGGTTTAATGATGTTTTTATATTGTCTATAAAAAGTTTTTAAAGAGCTCAAAGATTTTGATAAAATTTAATATTTTTGAGATAGAACAATATTAGTTCCATCTCTCTCTTTCTCGTCTTATATAAAAAATAGCTAACATTTTTTTTTTTTTTTTTGCCGATTCAATATTCTCTTTAAACATAAAAAATAATAGTACGGATACTCTTTAAATGTAGATTACGCAAATGCGCTGTTTAATTTGTTGATATAGAAACTCAGGATTTCACTTTGGCAATCTCAACATTTCATTCGTCGTTCTCCTTAACTTTGAGAATTATGCCAGACGATATAGGCGGCAGCGTTAAAATATACGCGGCCAGCGACGCCGTCGAGTCGCACGCGAATCTAAATCGTAGCTAATAGTTTCGTCTTCCGCGGCGGATCCCGCGTAAATTTAGCTTCATGGATTCGCTCGCGTGCCTCGCGATTGTCCCATCCCATCCCATCCCATCCCATCCCATCCACAGTTCAGTACGTTTACGCTTTCGCGCTCCTGTTTTCCTCGCAGTATTCTCGCCCTCGCCCCATCTCGCCCGTGCGCCCTTCTTCGTCTCTATCGTTCCCGGTGACTTGTATCCCTATCTAGAAGCAAAGTGACGCGCGGGAATCCCAACGACAATGTTCACTATATTAACACCTCCATCCAACCTTAATGAATCCCTCAGTCTCGGCGATATCGAGGATGAGAGGAGATTGCCTCAGCCCATCTTATACACGTTTAAACTCGCGTCTCACCTCTTTCCCCTCCTCTCTCCTCCTCTCTCTCTCTCTCTCTCTCTCTCTCTCTCTCTCTCTCTCTCTCCCCGAGTCGTAAATATCTCCCGGGACTTCTCTTCCTTACTTTGCCGTTAAAGTCCGTCTTCATCCTTGATTACGACGTCGTGGTAATGACTGTTCCTCTTTCGACACGGTCTCTGATGTCAAAGATCGTGGCTTTGATACGAGAAGAGCATTTTCTATTCACGATAAATCAACGATCATGGAAAAGGTCACAGATCGTAAAAATTTGAAATCTCTTTAAAAATAAAGGGAATTGGGAAGTATAATCTTTTGCAATTGTTTACATATATTTTTTTTTACAAAAATTATTATATTTAGGATTTCGTTTCGCGTATATATATTTTATATTATATAAATTTTCACGCATATATTATTATATAAATATATATTTTCATATTAATATATAAATATAATTAATTTGTAATTCATGACAATACAGTTAAGAGTGTAGGATTTATTAAAAAAAAAAAAAAAAAGTTTTTAGTATTATTCTATATCTTTGGGCTCGCTTTTTCAAGCATTTAAATATTTGCATAACAATCGTTTTCAGTTTTTATTTTCTAATCGTGCCTGTCTTACTTTGATCTTTAAAGAAGAGACCAACGTAAAAAGCCTCGCACAAAAGATTTTCAAGATTAACGCCGACCCTTAGTAAGAGTGGGATCATCCCCCATGTGCATTGCCAGGAAGGAAGGAAGGCTTGGCATTTGGACGTAATGTATGTGCCCGTCGACTCCGCGACCTTTCGGCAGAAGGCGAACCATAGTGGGTTTAATGTACGGATAGGATGCAGGGGGTGGGGCGAGGGAAGAAAGAGGAGAGACGGTTGATACGTACGAAACCCTCTGCATAGTAGTGCAGAGAAGGAAGCCCATCTCATATGCGTTCAGGGGACAAATTATTTCCCCATTTTATGGCCCGCTAAAATATAAATCAAGTTCTAAATTAAATTCCTCACTCCACACGCCTACGTGGCGAACTATAACGAGCATACGAGCATTTTATAACGCGCGCGCGCGTGCGTGTGTGTGTGTGTGTGTGTGTGTGTGTGTGTGTGTGCGTGCGTCAAATTGAAGTAGAGAGGAGATGAAGTTGGAGGCACACTTTCGCAGAAGGATGTGAAACAGAATGGCAAGGAGAAATAGCGAAGAAGGAAGACAGACTAGTGGCGTACACGTATATCCTATTGGGAGACGTACCTATGTACAAGGAGGATGAAAGGAGAAAGAGAAACAGAGAGCGATGCGCTATCGATGCGGCCATTTTCCATCTTTCGCAACATCGCCGCTACTTTTTCCGAATTTCGCCTGAGAATGCCAGACGAGATATCGCCATCAACCTCCATTGCCTCCATTGCCGTCGAGAAGTTCGATTTAAAAAAATTACTGCGCGAGAGAGAGAACGAGCTTGAAAGCTTCTCTTCCTGATCTCTATCCAATGTCGAAAGCACATGCGAATCGTTCGTGTGGTTTGCTTCAGTTTTTATTTACTGAGAAAAAAATTAACATTCCGCCACCTTTACAACAGAACGAAAAAAAAAGCTTTAGTCAACCAAGTATTTAAAAAAATTTAGTATTTTGTAGTAGAAATGTTTAGAGTCCAACAAGTATTTATAAGAATATTTATCTTTCTAAAAAAAAAAACATGTTTAGAAAGTAAACATCACAATTAATTAACCATTAGTAATTTATTAACCAGGAACGGAATAATAGATTATATACACTATTCTTTCCACACATTAATTTTCTTTAAATTATTTTAATTAAAGGAATATAAAAATTAAAATATTTTAATAATAAACAATAACAAAATAAACTTGTATTATTTGACGCATAAAAGGTACATGTACAATCAAGAAATTTAATTTCTAAGACAATAAATACGGTTACTTTCGCGGAGCTCTTTTGTTTGTATTAAGACAGACTACGCTTCCCAATTATGGTCTTCAAAGAACAAATAATATCAGTCTTGCATTATTCGAGCAAAATGGGTCACAAAGGCAATGAAGGAAGAAAGCGAAAGATTATGGTTAAATTATATAATTATTATTAATTTTACCGGAAATTATTTATAAAAACGCAACTAAAAGAGAATTTAACGTCTAAATACAATTAATAAAATTGTTATACATAATGAAATTGCTTTTTATTAAAAACATTTTTAATAAATAAGTCAGAAACAGTCATATACAAATATCTCTGTATATCGTTCACTGTACAACAACAATGATAAATTGTCTTTACTTTCGATAATATTCAAATAGCTAAAAAAATTACTAAATCAAGAGTAACATAATAAAACAACTACTACATTATCTACATTATTAGAAGGTAGGAATCATAATTTGTTTAACTGATAGAATTTTCAATTTGTCATATGTACCATCAAACAATTTTAAAAGTATTATTAACATTTTATTAAATAGTAGAATTGTAGCTTATTTTCTCAACACAATCAGAGAAAGAAAAGTTAAGTTTTTAAAGTTTAAGAAACATAATATATAATAAAACATGCGACAGTTTAATAATTAGGATTAAGAAAAAGCGAATTTTTTATTATTCCTCTTTTTGTTTTGTAAGAATTTCGGAAAAATTCAAAGTCTCTTTTAGTCTTCTTGAACAAAATATTGCCCGTAAATTTAAATAAACTGCAGCAAATTTATTGGGATGACACGGCGATGAGTTCCCCTTATTGTCTAAATAGTAGTAGTAATAATAATAATAATAATAATGAAAACTGTTATTATTAATGTTATAGAAGTGACAACAATAATGACAACGATAATAACACATCGTAAATATTTTACTTTCAGCGATAGATGCTTTTTCTAACGTGAAAAGCTGTTCAATTTCGAATGAAGAATTACGTCCCAGGCGCCCGCGGTGGAGCGCGTCGTCTTACATTAATATTAAATCCGTACGGTTATAGGAACGGCGGTGATAAGATCTCCCTTAAATTCACATTATATTGTTGCGCGGAGCGCAAAATCTGGCGATAATATAACCGCTTATGCATAGTTTCTCGGCTCGGGCCAAAGTTCATCCAACTTTAACTTAATCTTAACTAACGTCGCTCGCGCGCTCGACCGCTGCCGCGTCGTTGAAACCCGATCAGACAAGGAGGACTCTGGAATTCGGGGTTGTAATAGGGAAGACAAGGACGTGGGAAAAAACCGGGACTTTCGCGGTAGTTGGGATCCAATACCCGCATAGTTCCGGGCCGAACTTTAATTCGCCGTTATATTCTTATTCTACGTTCCACGCGGATCGCGTGGCGCCGATTGAATCGGCGTGTTTCCGCGTTTTCTCGAGTACTTCCCACATTTCTATTCCTCGTCGTCCACTCGTTGTGTGTCGTTGTTATCTTTAATTTGTTTGAATTTAAATTTGTTATTTTCTTCAAGCCATCCACGATTTAACTGAAGCCTACTTTTAATTATCGCCGATGACGACGTGTCTTTTCACGTGGAATTGAAAATTGCATGACTCCACAATATTAATAACAATACAATAAAAGAAATGGATTCCGTGCGATAAGAGGTGTGTTGTTTTTTATATTTAAAAAACGAAACAAAAGTTCAGTTAAATAAACATAATATAGTATAACATATTAATTTTGATTCTATTTTTTTTTTATTTTTTTTTTTAATCTTTTTCTTTTTGAAAGTAGTTTATGAGAGAGATCTTTACGTACTTTAATAAACTTTTTAAGTTTGCTCGTGCTCAAGAAAGATAGCTTGATGTCAGAAAATTTAAAAATGAGTCAAAAAGTATAATTATATCTTATATTACACGTTATGTTTACTTAATGACTAAAAACTTCTGCTCTGTTTCATTTTAATAATGCGTATCTTTAATGCGTATCTTTTACTATAACGAATAGTACAAAAAATACATTGTTCCTGATTTTACATAGAGAAGATTTTCTTATTTTCATACAGGCAATATTATATATATTTTTAAAAATATTTCCCTATATACAAAGTTGGGAAAATCGTGGGTGAGATATCTGATGATATCGAATGTTTGGGAAGGGCTGCAAGAAAAATATGCGAGTCAGGTACGCGATGTTATCCATTAAATTTCTATCCCCAAAGGGTTATTCATCGATGCATACCAAATAGTAAAAACAATATCGTCGAATCGCCAACAATGTTAAGCATGC